TGTGCCGCTGAGCTAAATCCCCAGCCCCTGGACATTCCTTTTTAATGCGCAAATTCTAACAACTAAACTAATTATGTGAAACAGAAGTGCTAGTACTTTATCCCATTATTATCTCTGGTCTCCTGACAGGATTTTTGTTTTGCTTACTGAAATATTCTTTCTTGATGATTGGAAAGAGTAAGAGAAGTGCTACAAGGTTATGGAATCAGTGTTCAGTATAGACTGAAGTTTACTAAAAGAAAACTCATTATAATTAGTTTTCACGGGGACACAGAGAAACAGAACCACAAAACAGCCCCCTGTGGTGGGTATAGAATAACTACCGGTATCCAGGGCAGTTTTAAGTTCTGGCATTTTTTTCATTATGTGAAATACAATTGTTTCCAGGGATATTTTTCCTAGTAAAAAGAGCTTTTAAAGAACACTATGTCTTCCTTTTCTTTTGTGTTCTACCTGAATCTAGACTTTGTATATAGTGGCTGCTTTGTAGTTTCAGACATCATCAGATTGTGGTGTGGTTTCTATACATAAAGTTGGGCTGGCTTTTCATCCTAGAGTGAGGCAGGATGCTGGTTCCAAGTTTCATTTTGTGTTACATCTAAAATACATAATGTGACTATTTTTAAAGGTATTTTCCTACCACTTCCTTCACTTGAAAGAAACCAGAGATATAAAATAGTACTCTTACGAGCTGAACTTTTGACAAACTTTCCAGTGATATTAATCTAATAGTGATACTTCAGGGGTAAGAAGAGTGGGAGGCTATGGGAATTTCCTTTAGGTTGAGCTTGGTGGGTAAATTGACAAGGGAAGTCTTTATAAAAGAGCAGGACCTTCTTAAGCGTTAGAAAAGCTGACTGATAGCACATTCCAGTATGGAGGCTTCTTCCCATCCTCCTCCTCACTCTAAGGAGTTAGCAGAGGGTAAGCCAGAATGTTTCTGGGTCCTAGAGAAGCCAAAAAGGAAATCCAGAAAAGTTAAGTTCAGAGAATAAATTAAAGAGGTTGCAGCTCAGAAGGAAGTGTGCTAACAGAAGCTGGTCCTTCTCAGGTTCATCGGTGGTAGAGGTGAGGCTGGAATAACCTCAGACCAGGGGCCCTACCTTGGTGCCCATTTGAGTGATGCAACAGGATATGAAAGGGCAAACGGGGAGCAGTAACCCTAGTCTTACTACCTTACTAGGCACCTGTTTACTTTTCAGCCCTTCCAAGACTTTCCCGGGGGCAGCCCCCTCCTCTCCCTGGGACAGCTCCCAGAATGACATTGGTAAGATAACACGGGCTGAGAGGAGGGGTGGAGGGTAGCCTAAAATTAGTCCCCTGGAACAAGTTAGCCTAGGAGCCGAGGCCTAGCCTTTCTGCTGGGTTGTTAACAGTGGGAAAGCAGAGCCCCGCCTGCTCCAGCCTGGAGCAGGAGGGGTTCCCTGCAGAGGGGCTACCTGCAGAGTGGCCAACAAGCCCTGAATGCTTCACAGAGGGGCAGTGGCAGTGACCCCAGCTCACAGCAGCCTCAGCCTGAAGTCCGGTAAGTATGTGGACATAAGACACAAATCGGTCATAGAAAAGTGATCCTGGTTGTTACTATTGGGTCTGGGACATGGGAGCACTTAGGAGGAGGGATATTATATGGGCTTTCTGTCTTGTTGTTCCCAGAAAGTGTGTCCACCTGCGCCCTCTGCTCTATAGACCCCCACTTCTTAAAGGCATCTGTAGTTATACAATTCACAGAGGGTAAAGGTTTGTCTGTGTCCTTACATTGCGTTGCAAGTTTGTGGGGGGAGGTGCAGCAGAGTGGGTTTAAAACCAGAAATTCAGAGCTCCTCAGGGAGAAAGGAGAAAGGTAAGGCTGAAAAGCAGTTTATTGATGCCTGAAGGAGTGTTCTGGGTCCCACAGAAACCAGCCACTGTCCTATAGGAGTTCTTAACCTAGATTCCTAGACCCCAAGAAGGACTTAGATAAAATATGAAGGACTCAGAAACAGAAGAGTTAACAGGTTTTTTTCCCTGCTAACCCCTAAACTGTAACTGAAATTTACTATTTCTTTTAAGGATTAAGGCAGTAAATGGCAGTACTATTACCAGTTCCTGTAACTTGGTAACAAGAAGAAATCAAAGACATTTCATATCATATTACAGTGTGACAGAGATCTTGAAATGTCATTTACACTCATTGCAACTTAGAAATTATTAGATCTTGTTATTTAATGAGTTATAAAGAAGGCCTATTACTGTGTCACGCAGTTTTAAAATATTTTGATAGCAGTATTTTAATAAAATTGGTGTCCTTTAATTCTAAGTACATTTTATCTGCTAAAGTGTAATGACAGGTATCCACAGACTTCACCAGGGACAAAATTACCAAAAAAAGGTTTAAAAGCCCCGAACTTTTAGGAATCAGAAAATGGCTTTCGGTACACCGCAGCTACACACAATAACATTTTGATCAATAAATTATAGTAAGGTGAAGACAGACAATAGACTAGCTGCATTTTCTTGTCCGCATCTAATATAAGCAGCATTCACTCAAGTTCCAAAGCCTCAGGAAGCGCTTCTTTGATCTCCTTTGGGAGGTTCATTATGTGCGTTTTGCTATGGTCTCACGAACAACCTAGGTGAAAGCTTCAGTATTCCTCTCCACTGCTTCCTGCTTTCTTCATCTAATTAGATCTGAGTCACCAAAATAAAATAAGAAGAGAGCCAGGTGTGGTGGTGCACACCTGTAATCCCAGCATTTGGGAGGCTGAGGCAGGAGGATTGCCCTGAGTTCAAGGCCAGCCTGGGCTACATAGTAAGTTCAAGGTTAGCCTGAACTATACAGCAAAACCCTGTCTCAAAAAAAAAAAAAAAAAAAAGCCCCAAACAAACAAAATATAAAATAGGAACAATAGAATTCCTGTTGACTGTAAGTGAAATGATTTGTATAGGAATCTTTCATTACCAGATTCCATAACATTCAGCACGACACTCAAAAGGTGAGCATCCTGGGAGCTGCAGTGTAACTCTGCTTGAAACAAGGGGAAGGATGTGTTTCTGTTTTTTATGGTGAAACAGAAAGAACAGGATAGCCAGTAGGGAACCTGTGTTCTATGTCTGGCTCTGGTACTGCCTTCATGTATGTCACCTGGAAAACCCCTCACTTTCCACCACACAAAAAATGAGGATATCATTCCCTACCATACTACATTAAAGAGCTTTGAAATGCACAAAATTATAAATGTGCTTTGGGTTCTGGAAAATGAGATATATGATAGTTATAGCCATGTGACCTTAACAAAGTAGCTGTTACCCCTCTCAGACTTGGTTTCCCCATCTCTAAATTGAGGGTATTATATTAAATTATCTACAAATTCTATTCCAGCTGAAGTTATAGGACATTGAGTAAGGTGCAAAAGTCATAGAAATTCAAGGCCTAAGTGTTGATTATCATAGTAAAAATAGTTATTGAGAAATATGTTCAGGTACTACTCTAAAAATTGCTACATATTGGTATATCCAATCCTAACAACACTCCAAGGTAGGCACTATTATCCTGTCTTTAAAGATGAAGCAATAGGCACAGGGAGATTAAGTAATGTATCCTAGATTGCACAGTTACTAAATGGTAGAGCTGCAATTGAAGTAGGCAGGCAGTGGTTTAACACTATACCATATGGCATTTCCATCTGCAGTGGGGGAAAAACAGACCAATAGAGGAGTTATAATATAGTATGATGACTCCTATAATATAATAAGAGCACAGATTCTGAAGGAACTAACTCTCCAGAGGGAAATATATTTGGCAGAAGGAAGCACAAGGTACAGAGAAAACCACCATTTTCTTATCACTGGATTACGGAATATAAATAGAAAATTAATAGTAAGTGACACGGGAGTGACTGGCTGGATCTGTGAGCTTACCTAAATCATCTGAGCTATGCCCTGAAAGAGGGGAACTATTTAGGGATTTAAAATAGTAGAATGGTGCAGACCAGAATTATATTTTTAAATCATCACTTTAGCCACAATATGGAGACAATACTGAAAAGGGAAACTAGCTAGAAAACTGTTATAACTGTTGAGGCAAAAACAAAATGATGAGAATCTAGATAAAGTACTGCCAATGTATATGGGCTTGAAGAGGATGGATGCTGTTTCTATAAAGTAAAATCCAAAAGAATTAATAAGCGAAACAAGAGGTAAGGGGACTGAGATGGGTGCTGGCATTTTAGTTTGGTTGGCCTTTATAGATGATGACAAACTTACATACAGATTAAGTTTGCTGCTACCGCTGCTCTCAGTGGTTTGATATTTCTGATCTTGAAGTACCTGCAGAATCTCAGAAGAGAGCTGGGGGCCTCAAAATATCAGAATAAAGGCGAGAGTGAAAGTTCTGGGACTGGAGCAAAGACAGTGGAGATGAGAACAGGGTGAACATATATATTCCAAGGCAGAATGCGTGAGGAGAAAAATCGGGTGAGAGTGCTGGGAAGGAAGATGAAGGAGTTTGTAGGAAGGAGTGGTCAGGACAGATGTCCCAGAAAAGTCAGCAATAGAAAGATCAGACCAAGAAATATTCACTGAACTTAGCCATTTCGATACACTTTTTAAGAGCTTTCTTAGAATGACTGAGGGTGAGTAGAGGCAGACTGCAGAGACTAAAATAAATGGAAAATGGGAAAGGAGGTAGTAGCTAATTTGATACATTTGGTAAAGGATGGAAAGATGGCCTCCTATGCACACCCTGAAGGCTGAAGCTGGAGGATCAAGTTTAGCCTAGGTTGGGCAATTTAGGACTTAGTGAGACCCTATTTCAGAATAGAAAATGTAAAAGGGGCTGGGGATCTAGCTCATTGTGAAAGTTCTGGGTTTATTGCCCAGTGCCACAAAAAAGGGGAAAGATGGAGAGAAAGGTAGCTATAGAAGTGAAACAAATGACTATAGAAAGTTTGTTTTAATTTCTAAAATAATTGAGGAGGATAAGCCAGAGTGAGGATGTTGAAGGTACAAACAGAGACGCTTACCTTTGAAGATCTCATGGATGGGTAGTTTTCTTTCTACTATCAACCTCATGAAACACGGACTATCATTTCTGTCTGGTAGATGAGAAAAGTAAGTCAGTAAAAGGGAAATGACTTGCCCAAGCTTACTCATTAGGAACTGAGGGATGATGAGCTGTAAACCTGGATGTAGTTAATTTCACAAACCTTACTGCCACTGTACCTCAAGAATGAATCAATAAGAGGTCCGTATATGGTGCCGATGCTGACCATCTGAGAAGAGCTTAAAGTTGAGGGTGACCCCACCCACCTCAAAAATTTCTCTCTATGAAGTGAGCACCTGAGGTCTCTGGCTCACAAAGAGGGGTGGGGGTAGACAGTCAATAAAAGGAGGTATGTGGCTGTGAGATCGTGGCTGTGAGATCTTGGCTGCAGATATGGGAGAGTACGGAGATCTGAGTTTTGAAAAACCTGCCAGCCCACCCTGACAACACGGCAGCATGAGATGGGTGAACTCCATTTTGGAGAACTAGAACAAGGTTAGTAAAATCAGTCGATAAATCGGGTCAGCTATCGAGTCGTGAGTGATTTTGTGGGCCTGAGGATTACGAGGAGAGAGGAGTTGAGGTTGGAGTCAAGGTTTCAGGCTGGATTTTGCAGAGAATGGGAAAAAGCTTGAGCCATAAGAATGGTGGAGCAGTAGGTTATGATGTAATCAGTATGAGGACACTGGCAATCTGGGGGGCTCCTGGCTCAGAGTCTTTCTGGGGAAAAGCCAGTTACACCAGAGAGGACAACTGGTTTTGGAAACTTCAGTTGTGTCCTGATACTTGTTTGCCTTCATTTTACTTGAAGTGTGCTCTTTGTAATGCACCTTCTCATTTAATCAGAAAATGACATTCAACACCCACTTTCTGATTACCTCTGTTCATGAAGCCTGGGTCTGAGACTGAGAGAAAGCTACAGAAAACTCAAAAGAAGGGGATTTGATGAGATTTGAGAACATGTGGAGAACATGAACTTCACCTAAAAGGGAGAGACCAGGAGCTGAGGGTCTGCCCCACGAAATAGATGCTAGAATGCTCAGGGATACAAGCTTGACACTATAAACCACCTTTTTATTGGCCTAGCAACTGCCAAACTTAAGCCACCTCATTAATCCACATATACTAACCTGAGTAAAATGGATCTACTAAATCTTCAGCCATGATGTAGGCTCTATTGGAGGTAAAGGAATGCAAGATAAATAGAGTTCTCACCCTGGTGTTTATACTGTCATGGAGCATGGATCTGTGAAAATGCACTGAAAGCTCACAGCTGAAATCTAGTTGTGATTTTTTTTTTAGAATCCTCAGGCAGGAAGAAATCAGGAAAGGCATCCCAGAAGTAAGTCTGAAGGGCAGGTAGAACAGTAGCTGAGAAAGCACTAAGGTGTGAAGAGGCCTCACCTGCTTTGACAGTTGTCCTGGGGCCTGAAATAGGATAGCAGAATGAGAAGTAGGAGACCCATGGATGAGTACCCTGATGGTGATGGGCAGGGGACAAAAGGTTCGAGAAGAAGATAGCATTCCAGATATCTTCAGTATCTCTCCCTTCTTTTGTCACCCACAGATCTGGCATACCATCCTCCTCATAATGAGAATAGTCGTGTTCCAGTCAGCCGAGATGAACCTCATGGACATCACCAAGATCCTCTCCCTCCTGCAGCCCGAAGAGGAGGAGGACACTGACACAGGGGAGAAGCAGGCTCTTAATCAAGCAGTATACGACAATGACTCCTATACCTTGGATCAGCTTCTATGCCAAGAGCGCTACAAACGATTCATTAACAGCAGGAGTGGCTGGGGTGTTCCTGGGACACCTTTGCGCTTGGCTGCTTCTTATGGCCACTTGAGCTGTTTGCAGGTCCTGCTAGCACATGGTGCTGATGTTGACAGCTTGGATGTCAAAGCACAGACACCGCTTTTCACCGCTGTCAGTCATGGCCATCTGGACTGTGTGCGTGTGCTTTTGGAGGCTGGGGCCTGTCCTGGTGGTAGCATCTACAACAACTGTTCTCCTGTGCTCACAGCTGCCCGTGACGGTTCTGTTGCCATCTTGCAGGAGCTCCTAGGTCATGGAGCAGAGGCCAACGTCAAGGCTAAACTACCAATGTGGGCATCGAACATAGCTTTATGTTCTGGCCCCCTCTATTTGGCTGCAGTCTATGGCCATCTCGACTGTTTTCGCCTACTTTTGCTCCATGGGGCAGATCCTGATTACAACTGCACCGATAAAGGCCTACTGGCTCACGTTCCCCAGCCCCGCACTCTCCTTGAAGTCTGCCTCCACCACAATTGTGAGCCAGAGTATATCCAGTTGTTAATTGATTTTGGTGCTAACATCTACCTTCCATCCCTCCCTCTGGACATGACCTCAAAAGATGATAAAGGTGTTGCATTGCTGCTACAGGCCAGAGGTGAGTGGTGAGCAAGCCAGCCCCCAAGGATCCTCAGCTTATAGGTCCAAGCATCCCAAATCACTGTTCAAGCCATTTCTATGGGATGAACTGGAGAAAACTTCATCTTCCCCTCTTTCCTTGGGCCCCATTGGAGAAAATGTTACAGACTCCATGTTAGCGAAAGGACCACTAAGATGAGGTGGGTGGGGAGAAGCACTTGCTCAATTTCTGGTCCTGGCTGTTTTTGTGGCCTTGAGCATTCCCATCCTAGGTCTCCAGGCAGCTCCTTTGGTACCATACAGTGGGGGACATTTTTCAGAAGGAAGAGGACATTAGAGCTGTAGCAGCCAGGGTAGGGTGAATGTAGGCTTTGGTGGGAGAATTATATTGAGAAATGCTCCTCCTGACTTATTTCTCCTTGCTGTAGCCACTCCACAGTCGCTCCTATCCCAGGCCCGTTTAGTTATCCGCAGAGCCCTGCACCAGGCCAGCCAACCAGAAGCCATCGACCAGCTGGATATTCCCTCCATGTTGATTAGCTACCTCAAACATCAACTATAATTCTGAAGTATTCCTAGAAGCCCATGATGCCTCCAAGAACCACTTGAAGACCTAGGTAGCTGAAGAACACTACAGCTCTACCACCTCAGGAGCTGCTCTCCCATAGTATCCTCCATAATAAAACCCTCAACAAAATAAGTTCTGGTGGCTACTGTGTCTGGGGTGGAGGTGGAGGTTCACTGGGGGAAAGGTGTCTGCCTGACCATGAAAGAATGGTACTTGGCTTGCATCTGACAGGTGCAAGCCACTGTAAAATCAAGAGAAAACCAACCCTATGTCTATACCTCCCCCATCAAGGTCCCCTATAGAGTTTGGAGCCATGTTGCCCTGGAAGCAAGATCGTGAAGAATCCAAGTGGGTCCCCATCCCCATGCCTTTTTACTTCTCCAGCTGTTACAAGACACCATTTCTGGAGCTGTCACTTTATCTCTTATTACTTTGAGTCAAATGACCAAGGAGCTTCTCATGTATTCACACATTAAACTATAGACTGCATTTCTACCAGTCCATTTTATAGTCAAGATCAATGGGAAAACAATCAACCAAATATTTATAACAGGGAGTTTAATGCAAACAAAAATTTGGTTACATAGGTGATAGGCTGAGAATCCAACCAGCACAAAGCTTCGAAGCTTTGCCCAGAGATTAATGAGAGCAAGAAGCTAATATCACCCCTAGGCTAGAGGAGGAATGGGGGAGATATTTCCAGAATTTGGGGTCAAGAATCACCTGATGGGAAGTGTAATCCATGATAGCTAGACCCATAGACAAGACATATTGCCCAAAGCAGAAGAAAGGAAGAAATACACTGTTCTTTCCCTTATTTTTGCCTTCTAGTTTGTTTTTGATACCTTTTTGGGAAAACTTGAAGTCAACTAATTTTAGAGCCTGGAAAACAGCCTACAGAGGTCAGACCCCTTGTCATCTAGGGCAAAGCAGGGGGAAGACAAAGAATGGAGGGACAGTGGATGGATGTTGTATGACCTGAGCCATGAGCTGGAATCACACAGCAATACTCGAAACATGCCAGCAGGAGAAACCATAGAAGAGATACAGCATAGTCACTGACTGATGCAAAAAGGCAGAAGATAAGGATTTTAGAGTCTCCATTTGTTCTCCCTTTCCATCAGTGCTCTCCATTGCTTGAACCAAGCCAGAAGGTAGTTGAAATGGAAAACTAGAAAAGGCAGCCTACAGGTTAAGGCACCCTATGATATGGAGAAGAGCAATGGATGGAGATAAACAGACTATGGGCCCAGATCTATGCACCTTTCTTAAAAAAAATACTAAATCTTTATCCTTCCACAAGAGCTTCATGTATTTCCTTTGTGCATCTATGAGTGAGGATCTGAGTAAGTAGTGAGAGAGAGATGACCCGAAAAGGTGGAGGAGGACAGTGCCGTAGAATCAGTTCCCAGGAAGCACTTTAGATGTTTAGAGGTCCTCCTGGGTGGTGCCTTGATGGCCCCTTAAATCATGCTCTCCTATCATGACAAAAGGGAAGCAGGGCATGGGATCTTAACTGACTTGTCTCTCTCCTCTGCCAACCCCCTACTCTCCCTACTCACTAGTTCCTGATACTTTAGCAAGGAAGGCAAATAAATACTAGACATTTGCAAGATCCTGCCCAATCAGCTTCCATATTTTCATTCTTGGGTAGTATGGAGACCAGTGAAACTGTTTATCTCCAGCAATCATGAGAGTTGAATTAAGTGTAAACAGAGTTTACCAACAGAGGCTTCATATAAGGCACGCTAAGCTCTCTTCTGACTTTCTTTCAGGCTGGGTTCCTGAGGGATGATTTGTCCAGGACCAAAGCCCCAACCTTCCCCACTATCCCTATAGAAAAGGCCTTTTGGGATTAGGAGTCAACCCCAACCGGCCCATCTGCTACAGGCTTGTGGGAAAGCATACCCTTCAGTAGGGTCCAGTCATGGTGGCCTCCCCTGTAGCATTTGGAACACAGATTTTTTGACCTATAAAAGTACATGAACATTTCAAATGGCTGCATTTGAAGATGTTATAGAGTGAACCAAGTATTGAGCAAAGAGGAAAGACTGAAACAACCCCATTTTCTACATGAGGGAAATGACAA